ATGAATGTGTTCGCGAACTACGGTAGCTCAAGGCACGTTCGAGTTCATCGAATCTTTCAAGTGCGAGACAAAGGTCTGGCGCGACGAGAAAGCCAGCAAGGGGCAGTGGTGCTCCAGGGTGAATCGCAGGATGTGGGTTATTGGATGTGTCCCGTCGGCGTTAGCCAGTTGGAGTTGCGGCCCCATAGGGCTAGGGTCTTTCATGCATGAGGCCTCGGGGGTAGCGATAGGCGAACCCGAACCGAACTTGCGATCCCAGGTACACGGCCGACGCATTGCTCACCTTCTTCGGGTGGGCCCCGCAGAACAACGACACCCCTTTTGGGGGAAGGCCAGAGCCCGCCTGCTGAACCTCCCTGAGGGCCTTCCCGCTCGAAGCCTCATTCATCGATCGCCGTCGTCCTCGAACCTCGTCCTCCTCGTCCTCCTGCCATCCGTCCTCCTTTCTCCGCGTCAGCCTTGACGTTGCCATGATCCTTGAGATTAGCGTCACCGCGATTCGACCACAGTTGACCCCTTGCCCTCCGCTCAGGGCCAAGCTGCGGCAGCAAGCTACGATCAAATCCTGCGTGGCGGTCAAGGGCATGAAGCGGGTGGGGCGGGGTAGATAAAGAGAACGGGAGAGGCGCATGCGTGTGTGCAGATGTGCGTGAGCAGAAGTGTACATGCATGCATACACGCATACAAAAAATCACATACATGCATGCATACATGCATGCATACATACATACCCACATATGTGCATACAAACATACATATATGTGTACTCGTGTATACGTGGATGTATACAGACACGTGTAGTCATGTAAGTATATGCACACACATACGCATCTATTCGTAGATAGACATATGCATATCAGCATTTAATTAAATATACAATTACATATGAATATAACTATTGATCTGTAGATGGTGAGGGGTGTGCCTAGGGGCTCGGGCGCGCGGCAGATCGCGCCTGTCGTCGGGGTTAGAGGCGGAGGCGACGGACATATGTATACGCGTGCCTGAATCTATGGACTGACGCCAGCAGGTCGAGCCACATGAACCGTATACTAGGGGGCGTGGTGATCAGGACGAGACTGATCGATAGGCGGTTGGAGCAGAGGTCAACGTGCAGCACGGCGACACCGAGTACACGTACATTCGCGATTCAGACGTGCACCTCGAGGCCCCATCTACCCCCGCTCGCTTTCGTTGCCGTTTGTGGTCCACCCGTCCTCAGACCCCTGATTGAACCCGATGCCCTCTGGACATGAGCGTGCACTGGCAGACTTGATGGTCCCACTCCGCCGTGAATTACGCCCCTGGTTCCCCTCGCGGCCTGCGCCCTCCCCTCGAGTTTATCATCTTGTACTCCCAGCTTCGCAACCCCTGCGCCCATCTACACCCAACCCTTCGCCATCTCGTTCCCCGCCCTCCCCGAGGGGCACGAGAAGCTCGCGGGGTCGAAGATGCGCACGAACGAGGAGACGGTCGAGGAGGCACTGGCGCAGGGCGAGCAGGGCAGGCCGATGCGCGACTCTCGCGGATCCAAGCGGGCCAAGGTCAGGCTACGGGGGCTTCCAGATCAGGTCTGGTCGAGGGGCAGTGTCTTCAAGTATGATCTCTCAGCATGCAGTTCCCGATGCCACTCCCTGCCCTCGCCCGCCTCCTCCCCCCCCCCTCTCTCTCTCGTTCTCTCTTGCTCTGTGTGTTGTCTCTCCCTTTCTCTCTATATATCACTCCTTCTCTCCCCATGCATATACATGTACACATGTGTACACGCACACATGTATACACACACATGCACTACGTCACCCATCCGACCCCACTGCATTCCCGCCAGTCGCTACCTCTCCCCTTCCCTTTCCAACTATCTAGATATATGTACATGTGTGCACACACATATATACACACGTATGTATATACATATATAAATATATGTGCGTATACATGAGCACCTATCTGCCTTTACGCACGCACATGTTTACGTTGTGGAGGTGTGCGTGCAGGTCTACCTGCGCATTGGCATGTAAATGTGCGTATGAACAGGTGTGTAGATGTATACGTGCGTGCGCATGGGTGCTCTCGTGTCTCTCTGTTCTCACAGGCCTGTCGTACGTGTCTAGATGTTTCAGTCGCCGTCTCGGGCATCTTGCCGATCAAGCTCAGTTATCGGGCGTTAGACTGCCCACCCCAATCGTCGTGTTGCTAACGTGATCTGCACATCGCTTCCAAGCACAGCTGCCAAGGGGCCCCCGTCACCCCGCTGGGGGGGGGGCCAGGTAGAACAGAGTTCGGACAGCTACAGCTACAGCGACTCGGAGTCGACTGCCGAATCGGACCACGATAAGGATCGACAGGTAGGCCTGAAATGTGACCCCCCTGGCCCGTCCCGCACGCCCCTCCGATTGGGCCTCGAAATCTCGGCTCCGAACCGAGGACGGCAGCAGCAAGACCGCGGCCTCGAGTGGCTTGCTGAAGGGGGAGGCGTCGACGGCGTTGGGGGAAGCGTCGCGCTTGCACGCCCTCCTGACTGGAGTCGAGGAAGGGCGGTTCGGGGCAGGGGAGCACGTTAAGCTTGCATGCTCTTGATGATGCCTGGCCGCGAGGTTGACCTGGGAGATAGGATGGGCGATACAGGCAGCATGCCTGATATACTTGCAATGCTATTGTGGGCTGATGGGGGCGGCCGGGGCACGAAGAACCCGTGCGCCATCCCCTTCGAAGCGGGGATCAAAGAAGCAGTCCAGGTCATCGAAGAGGCAAAGGAGGCATTCACCCAGATCATACAGGGCAAGTCTGGGCCCTATACCGAAGGGGAGGTCGGGGTACATGAGGAGTCGGAGAATGGAGTTCAATGTGCATGGCTGTTGTGGCTGCGCGTGCCTGGGCGATACCGATGCTCCTGGTCCTCCACGTCGCCCTACTCGTCCTCCCTCGCGCACTCTTTCTATTCTCCTGGGCAGCGGCCATCCGAGGTCCAGCGAGGGCGTGGCCGACAGCAAGAACTAAGTCCAGGAGGCCAAGATCGCGTGGGACACCATCGACCCCGCCATGCAGAGCTTCGAGCTCGCGCAGAGCAAAATCAAGAAGCCGCGTTAGGCAGGGAGGCGCAAGGATGGCGGGAGTGACTGGCACGCAGAAGCAGCATGTGAGATTTGGGTCACGGCCTGGGTCCCGAGAGATTGCACGAGGGAGGGGATGTGAAACGTGCTGTGCAGGATGCCGATAATAATGATGATGGCGGTGGTAACGATACCGATCGCGATGGCCATGGTGGCACGATGGCGCTGATGATGATGGTGATGGTGTTTATGTTGACGACGACGGTGTTCGTGATATTGATGGTGATGATGGCCACGACGACGATGATGTTGATGCCGATGCCGGTGGTGATGACGATGGGTATGACGAAGATGATGATGATGATGATGACGATGACGATGACGATGATGATGATGATGGTGATGATGATGATGCTGATGAGACCGACGACGCCGACGGCGACGGCAACAGCGACGATGATGCTGATGACGATGATGATGGCGATGCTGATGCTGCTGATTCTGATGATGATGATGCTGCTGGTACCGACGATGAGGATGAGGGTGATGATGATGCTGATGGTGATGGTATCGATGGTCCTGATGGTGATGATGGCGGCGACGACGATGACAGTGACGACGTTGATGAGGAAGACGGTGACGATGACAATGTTGACGGTACTGACGACGGTGGCTGCGATGATGGAACATGCGATGATGACGACGATGGCGATTTTCATGACGACAATGCTGATGATGGCAATGAGGGTACCAATGCTGCCGATGATGGTGATGGTGCTGGTCATGATGATGTCACGACTGGTGATGGCAATGAAGATGTCGATGATTTTGATGTTGATGGTGAGGATAGTTGTGGTCGTGATAATGATGATGGTTATGATGGTGATGATGCTCACGATGATGATACCAATGACGACGATGATGTTAAAGGATGTGAGGATGAAGAACCCTGGAACTCTGCGACTGCCCCCCTAAAAGACGGCCAGGAGGAAGAGCACGACGAGGACTAGGGTCGGGATTCGTTGGGCATGGCAAGGACGGGGGCGCGCAGAGGCAAAGGCAGCCCTTCGATTTTTTATGCTGCCGCCACGTCTCGGAAACACTCGCTCTGCGTTGCCCCCCTAGCGAGAGATCTCTCGAGAGAAAGGGGGGCGACAACGATACAGATAGGGCGAGGGAGAAATAAAGAGAGAGAGAGAAAGAGAGAGATAGCGAATGCAAGCGCGATAGTGCGACAGAGCTTTGGAACGATGATCTCGGGCCGCATGGGGAGGGCAAGACTAGGCAGGCGGGAAGCGGGAGTAGTTCGAGAGGGAAACGGCGATCGAGCGAGGAGGTCAGAAGCGTTGAGGTGACCTTGATGCGCGCTGCAAGTTGCACGCTGGAGTGGGATGACCTCGATGAGCGATGCACGGGTGATCCGACGCACGTTGGGTGCATCAAGTTCGGCGCACAGGTGGTCCGAGGCACGTTTCTCACATGGAGTTCGATCGAGGTGGGACTTGAGTCGGCTTTGATGCGGGGCGGAAGGGCCTCGATGCGCGATGCGCGTGTGAACGATGGTCGCAGCATGTTCGGCGCACATGTGGTCCACGAGGCAAGCATCTAGCATCAAGTTTCTGCGAGCGCGCACTTGTCTTCAGTCGCTCCAACTGTTGACTCTGGAGGGGTACTTTCTGCCACGAACGTGCTCGCGGCGCGGGTGCACTGTGATCGTGTTCTCTCATTGACGCCCGCTCGTGCTTGAGGGGCCTCGTCGGCACCGAGGTCGCTGGAGTGAATGTCCTGACATGTAGCGCATTGGACGTTCGCGCGCGCAGACGCCTGAGCAGGAGCAGGACCTCCAACCAAGCTCCACAATTGGCATCCATTTACCGCGTGCTTGACTTTGGATCCATTGCCTGCTATACAGCCGCTCGGTTGCTATATGTGCATTTTGCCCCTTCCGGACCCATGGCTCGCGCGTCCGCCGCCGCCTTGACTGTTGAGATCGCCGTCACGGATGAAGCGACAAGTGCCGACGGTGGAGTTGGACTCAGGAGGTATCTTTTGGAACAGTGCAAGTGTGGGCAGATGACTGCCACGGCTGTCAGCACTACAGCATGGTGGGCTACCAAAGCAGGGGCAGTTGGCATCGACGATCTTGCCCTTCACCCGTCCGGCACTCATCATTCAGAACACCTAAGTGCGGCGATCCAAACTAGAGCAGATACCGCGTTCTACACTGCGGGAGCTCCTATGTGGGACAGCGAGACCAACCGCAGAGTATTAGTGGACTTTCCTGTCAACTTGCCGCATGAACAGTTTGCAGAGGAATGGTTTCACGACCCGTCAGCATGGGACCCCGCCGGATTCGATGCAATGAATCTTTCGCCAGTGTTCCACACCCATGATGTCACCTTAAGTCACACTGGGCGCACGTGTCCGGTTGGATTCTTCAGCGACGCCGTTCCACGCACAAAAAAAGACTCGTTCATAGCTTTCTACTTTAGCAATGGGCTTACAAACAAACGCTATCTGATATGCAGCTTGCGCAAAACAGACTTGTGCGCGCGCGGGTGTCGTGGATTCTGCGCGATCGGCAGCGCGCAGCGCATCGTAGCATGGTCGTGCAACATCCTCGCTGAGGGGACCCACCCAGAGTTTAACCACTTAGGTCTGCCATTTGCCGACGAGCTCCGCCACAGCCAGAGGGGATTTCCACTCGCAGATGGACGCGTTTGCGCTCTCACCGAGATGCGGGCAGACTTACTGGAGATAGTGCAATCTCTTGGGCTGAAGAATTTTTCGAACTACCTCAACCCTTGTTTTGCATGCTCCAGTAATCGAGATTCCCTGCGCGACTTCCCAGCCACAATGGAAGATAACGCATGGCTTCAGCGGGACGCCACAGCCTACGATATCACGTTGATGCGAGCTTTGGTCAAGAGAGAGGTGCACGACAAGCGCGCTCTTAAGAATCTCATGAAATCTATGGCATTTGGCGACAAGTCGAGCGGCTGTACATTATGTGAGGACTTCGCCCCGTTGGATCTCAAGAAGGGCTGCAGGCTCATCGAGGCAGGGGAGGTCGTCGACGTACACGATTTGATGAGTATAGAACTGCCAGCTGTGTTCACTTTCTTTGACACAAATATCAATATGGGCTTAAACGTCGTGTGCCCTCTCTTCATTATCAAGGGATTCACCGTCCAGCGCGTGCACCTAGACTCTATGCACACTCTAGATCTCGGCGTTAGCCAATTTGTAATTGGACACGTGTTTCGGACAATGGTGAGGAAGAATTTCGCCAGATCTCGGCGGAGACTTGCGAACCTTCGGCACAAGGATAACCTGTTCCACTTGCGCAGGCGCGGGGGGAGGAGCATGACGCTACAGATTATGGCAGGGATACGGCGAGGCACATACACGATTTCAATGCTTTTCATGGTATGTTGTCTTGCGCGTCTACCTGCCCCCCCCCCCCCCCCCCCCCCCCCCCCCCCCACCCACCCCCCCCCCCCCCCCCCCCCCCCCCCCCCCCTCCCAATCCCCACGTGCCACCGTCCCAGGGGAGTCTCGTACTACAAGTCGCAGGCGCACCTGCTCCCGCAGAGACGCCGCGACCAGGTCGGAAAGATCACGTTCAAGATGTTCGACAAAGGCAGGCTGAAAGCCAAGGCTGCGGAATCTCGACACCTTCTTCCGTTGGCACCCCTGCTGTGCAGGGGGAACGCGCACCTCTTTGGCCAGCAGAGCGGCTTGCTCGCCGCGGCGCGCGAGGCGCTGGAGAACGTACAAGATGTGATGCAGAGAGAGCCGCGGGTCCTGAGTGAATCTGCGATTCGCGACCTTCAGCAGTCCATGCTGAGATTCATTATTTCCCCATATCCTAAGGATTGGGGTTCCTGTTATTACTCTGACGCCTCCCACTCCCCCTCCTCCTTCTTCCTCCCGCTCGCGCCTCCCTCCTCCCAATGATAA